CAGGATGCAGTGGTGTCTTCACCATTGAAATAATTTTCTTAAGTATCTGCTATTACTAATAATAAACATTTATATAGCACTCGCTATGTACCAGGTAGTATTCTTATCCTTTCATACATTAACTAATTTAATCACCACAGTAACTCTGTAAGGGAAGTGTTATTTTCATATTCATGTTTCACAGATACGGAGAAGAGGGCAGAGAGCAAGGTAATTACAATGCCAGGATCACACAGCTGCTTGGTATAGCCAGAACATGAGCCCAGGCTGCCTTGCTCCAGAGCCTGTGCTGTTAACTGCTATGATATACAGCTTCTTAAAATCTTTCTGCATTAATACAGTAAACTCCATAAAGCAAGGATTTGAATCTATACCAGGCCCAGGGACAAATCTGATAGTTATATGGTAGATGAATGAATGAATTAAAAAATGAATCAACTTTATACCAGTATTGTTAAATTAATTAGATTAAATGTGTCCCCTTAAAATTTATATCTTCTCTAGTAAGATATCCAGGGTTTGCCTGGTAGCTCAGATGGTAAAAGAATCTGCCTGCAATGCAGGAGCCTTGGGTTCGATCCCTGGGTCAGAAAGTTCCCCTGGAGAAGGAAATGGCTACCCACTCCAGTATTTTTGCCTGGAGAATTCCTTGGACAGAGGAGCCTACAGTCCATGGGTTTGCAAAAAGTCGGACACAACTGAGCGACTAACACATGCACACAGGAAGAGATCCCAGAATGCTCCCTCTCCCTTCCCACCATGTGCAGTTTCAGAAGGAAGACAGCCATCTGTGAACCAGGGATAGGATGTTCATCAGACCTCAGATCTGCTAGTGTCTTGGTCTTAAAGCTTCTCAGCCCCTAGAACTATGAGAAATAAATTTGTTATTTCTACACATTTCCACACAATTTACAGTATTCTGTTATAGCAGCCCAAACAAAAACAAATAATTTGGCAATGAGAAACTTTTGTGTTTTCTGCTTCACTCTCAGTGATGTTTCAGAGAAGTGAGAGTTGATATAAGTAAGGCACTGTACTAGGCACTACAAGTAAGTAAGATGAATAAAGTTGAATCTAGAATCAGTGAATTATTACAGAACTGGTTCTTATTTAAACTACAATGAATTATGTGTATCTGTAGTGGAAACAGATCTATAAATCTAACTATTTTGTAAGGCATTCCCCCCCCCCAATAAAATGGGGATGATTATTCTTAATGCATTAAGATCTTTATATATGTGTTTAAATTGATGACTTAATTTTTAAAGCTAGTTAAGATCCTCATCAAGGGTATTAAACACCACAGAATGGTTCATTTTATGAGGACTTTATGTCCAAAGAAAGGAGAACAGGGTTATAAAGTCACTCAAACATTGCAATAATACACTATCTCTTACTGGGAGCAAAGGTGTCCAGAAAAAAGCTACCATCTGGTTGTGTCTGGATGCTGTATGAGCAAATCTGTCAGCTTTCTCAGAGCCTTATTCACATACCATTTTGCCTTTTTGAGCTGACCATTCTAGCCTGCATAATGTTCTTTCAGATGTGTTAGCAAAAGCAGCTCAAATTCTATTGTACCATATTTCAATCATTAACTAAGCAGTCTGCATGTTTCCGTACAAAGCCCCTGCCCTGGAGACAGAACTTGTATGAAAGAACAACACGACAGGCTCTCATCCCTTAGTGTCTGATTGCCTGCTTGATTTGTTATTTGCCATCTAGGGAGAAAAATATCCAAATAAAATGTTCATGGAGTACTATTCAGGATATAGCTGAATAAAGAACAACAGAAGAAAAACAGAAGACTGGGCAGCTGCATTTAATCTCAGTTGACTGTTATTAAGGGGCTTTTGTTCATGACCATTTATTAAGCACCCCATTTGAGCCAAGTGTTTTACTAAATATAATCACTGGGATTCTTTCACTATCCAGTGTGGCAGAACTATCTTTCTTTCACTTCCTAGAATGCACTGAAGTCTTTCTGTCTTCAGAGTCTTCAAAAGCGGTTTCATCTACCTGAATAATCACTCCCACCCCATTTCACCAGGCCACTTTCTGCTTATCTTTTATGACTCAGCTTAAATGTCTCTTTTATCAGGAATACTTTCCCTAACAACCTATGAAGCTGGATTCCCCGATTACTTCTCTCATAACATCTTGAACTTTTCCTTCAGAGCATTTAACACAATTATAAGTAACTGCAATATAACTTGTTTCATATTCTCTGCTGGGTATAAGCTTTAATAAGGCCATCATAGAGTCAACTCTGGCTCACCACTAAATTCCCAGCCACTAGTTGAGTACCTGGCACATAGTAGAGGCTCAGTAAGAATTTACTGAATGATAAAATGAGTAAATGAACGACTACAGGTAGACCATGCCCTGTAATACAGTTCAGCACTATTTAATTTTTGTGTAGGATCTGTACTATTTTTGGGATTAGTCTTTATTTTTAAATTAAGCCCTAATTGCTAAAAATATAAAATAATGTAACCTAGTAATTGAGCCTAGAGAAGGGGGAGTAGTTGGTGGGGAGATGAGTTAAGTTCTATTTAGGTCTATCAGAACATCCAGCTACCTGGTTTAAAGCCCCTTCATAGTTTGGGATCACAGAAAAATGAAATTAAATCTTCTTTCCTCTTTCTCAAAAATGAAACTTTCCATACAAAATCTCAGGAAGTTTGACAGTCAGTAGTTACTTAATGATTAGGCTCTATTTTAAAATAATACATCAGTAGTTTTTTTCTCTAATTTATCCCTTTATTGAAGGTTTTATTTTATACTGCCCACAATATTCATTCCCTCAGTGAATAATCCAATAAGTAATAAGACAATTCTGAGACCAAAGAGAGAGTCTATATAGAGAAAGGAAAAATGATGTAGAGGGAATTTGAGCCTTTTAATGTGAAATCTGATTTGCATGTCAACCACAGTCATGTAAGATTCAGATTGGAGTTTTGTAATAGTCTCTGTTTTGTTCTATCTTTCATAAAAACTTGTGGGTTTTTGGTTACCAGAATTTGCTATTTGTCTCTTATTAGTTGGAAATTCAGCTTTTCTTTTGGATACATTTCAAACTTTGTGTGGTACTGTACCTTGTACCATCCACACAAGCCCTATGAGCTAAAGTTTCTATAATTTCTCTTCATAGGGTTCAGAATACAGCATTTTATTTCAGGTTCTTATTAGCCTACTGAATTTTCTTTCTCTATTAATATAAAAATCTCAGTTTACCAATATTGGCACCGATGTGGAAATTATCTTTTTCTACCTCGAGAAGTCTGAAATGACATGTCAAACATATATATATATATATATAGAGAGAGAGAGAGAGAGAGAGAGAATGTTAGTTTACTTACTTTCCAAATTTTTTTTTATTTTGATAGTTCATTTACTCAATTCCATTGGCTTTCTAAATGTCAATGACAAGTAAGAAATGAATGGACAAAGAATACCTGAAAACTAAGATTTGTAGGCTCAGTGGCATTTGTAATGACTGGACCATTAGGACACTTGGAAACCATTACATTGCTTATGAGCATTTAAGTTTTTAGTTAAATGATTCATTTTCCTTTTCAAGATTAGGACATTAAAATCTAATTAGGGAATGGCCACGGCTTGGATGCACAAAAACCTAACATCATTTACCTTTATAAACATGGTTAGAGTTTATACTTACAGAAGGATATTTTTGAGGGATGAATTTGATCGAATTTTTCTTATTATTCATATTCACATGTGCACAAACCAAATTTTTACCACTAGATTCTAAAAGTAGAAATCTTTTTCCTACTAAAAATTAAATTATTATGAAGAAGAAATAAAAACTATGCTTAGACTAATCAAGGAAAGTTATTTTTCATTTTGGTATATTTCCTTCTAGTCCTTTTCCTATCCATATGTTTCACTGAACAATTTTCTACAGTTGAGATTAGGATATATTATGTTCATTTAACATCTTATCTTGAACCTTTCCCATCTTCGTAAATATAGTGTCTTATAAACTCTTAACTGGAAATTCAAGTTGTTTCAGAAATTATAAACATTTATATTGACCTTCATCTGAATTTCTGATTTTTTTAATGTAGAATAGATTCATAAGTGAAATTACTGAGTGAAATATCATGGACATTTTTAAGGCTTTTGATGCACATAGTAAAACTGCTATTTGGAATGTTAACATCAACTAAATTCCTACTTGCTACATATGATAAAGCTTAATATCTTTGCCACAAGATAGGTCATATATATAACTTTTTAAAATAACCTAGTAGTGAAATGGGTTAAGAACATGAACAGAAAACTTATTATAATGAAAACTTAAGTATCCATATAAATATATATGAATAATATGAAATATCATTGGAAATACAAGCTATAATAATAAAAATACTACTTTAATTAAACTATTTTTTTCTTTGAAAGTATTTGAAGATTGGATGTTAACATTAGGGAAAGCTGGGTAAAGGGTATATTGGAACTCTGTACTATTTTTGTAACTTTTCTGTAAGTCTAAATTTATTTCAAAATGATGTTAGATAAATGACTCATATAATGGCTCTAGGTGGTTACTCAATAATGTCATTGTACCTAGTGACCTTCTATAAACGAGGCAGTGTAATCCCAGAAAACTTTGTTGAGCATACTCAGCTGGTTCTTCAGAGTCTTACTCTAGTATTAAAATATATATATATATATATATATATATATATATATATATATGTAAAATATTTCCAATCAGTGCTCTCATCCATTGTAGAAGTCTCTGAATCTGTTCCATATGTTGATACTCTTTCTCATTTAATCCTCTCTACAATCCTAGAAAGTAAACCTTAAAATTATTTATGCTCAGATAAGTTAACCAAGACTGTATATCATTGAGTAACCCATCCAAAGTCATACTCTAAAATGTTTTACTTTAATTGGTTTCCTTTATAAGGTATGTCCATTCAGCAGAAATTGCTTACATTTGGAGAATGAATGTTTGTCTTTATTTCCAGCTGGACATGATGCTCCCTTTCCAACAGATGAACATATAGACATTATTCCACGAAGCTGCCAACTAACAACAGATGTTCCACAAGTCACACAGCTGCTAAACATGACTAAACTCCGCCAAACTGAAATAAAATTTGGGGGTCATCCTCTGAGTTCAGCAGAATCAGGTATGTACTCAAGTCCTAAAGTTAAAGCCTCTTTATTTTTAAGGCCAAAAAGTAGAGGGTGGTGGACCAGCCTGGCAATAATGCTTCATAGCTTGAGATTATATATTAAATCACTTTGACGTCAGCTCTTGTCAGTGATAAATCATTTTAAATTTCTTTTTTAGCAACTGAAATAGCTTCTCGATTTTTATATGTTAAGTCAAACATCCTTGGTTATTCCTCTCTTCCTATATGTCTCCAAACCCTGCCAGTTACACCTCCAAGTCATCTCTCAAATCTGATCCTATTCTAATTTCATTGTTTGGGTCCCCACTGTCACTTAACCTTACCCTCCCAGTTAATCTTTACATTACTGTCAGATTTCTCTTTCTGATAATAGAAATAGAAATGTAACCATGGTGCTCTTTTATTAAAGACTTTTAATGCCTTTCCTGCTATCTTAGAAGACAGAATGAAAAAATGCCCCTGGGGACTCACACAAAGTCAGTCTCCCTTATTTCAAACTTACTCCGCAGTTTCATCTCCAGACCCTTTCTCTCATTCCCTATGTGTTAATTTCTGACCACTCTCTGCAGCTTTCATATGTTCCTATTTTGAGATTGCTGTTTCATTGGCCTAAAATGGCTTCTTTGCCTTTCTGCCTGGAAAAACACTCAATTTGTCCTCTTAAATCCAACTCAAATGCCACCTCTTCTGCCTTAACAAGCATTGTTCTCCTTTTGTGATGGCCTTTTGTTCCTTGCAATACTTTTTACTTAATATTCTTTCATTCTCAATTAAGTGTGACTCTTCCAAAAAGAGCACTGTACATCATTCTTCTATATTCCTACCACCTAACACAGTGTTTGCTATATATTTGGCCTGGTGCTGCACACTCATATGACAGTAGCCAGTCAGACAACAGAAATGAGTGAAGTGAGCCGGATGCCTGGACATCCGACCCACAGAAACATTTCCTACTTCTGCAGTGAGCCATGTTGGGAGTGTAGGGGAGCAATGAGGGAAGAAGAGTAAGATAGTGCTTCAAAAAGACTGTTCACTACTGTTGAAACAGTAATATCAACAACTGACAGAAATGATACAGCACATGGCAGTTAACACTCAGCCTCTGGGAGTGAGCCACACGGGAGTGGTGAGAACTACAGCAGACTGGGTTCTCGTTCTCAGCCTAGAGGGACAGGCAGTTCAGTTCTAGCCAGATTTTGCCTTGCAAGAACACAGGCACAGTCTCACCAGATCTTTCTTTTTTTTTTCAAGAGGAACTCAGTATCCCAGTGTTTATAACAGTATTTATGTAAAGTCACTCAGTCCTGTTCGACTCTTTGCAACCCCATGAACTGTAGCATGCCAGGCTTCCCTGTCCTTCACCCTCTCCTAGAGTTTGCCCAAACTCATGTCCATTGAGTGGGTGATGCCATCCAACCATCTCGTCTTCTGTTGTCCCCTTCTCTTTGACAATTTTAAAATATTGTCTAAACTCTAAACATTTTTGAAAACACTCCTAGAGTCAAACAAAACATGCCAGGGCTGCCAGTTTTCTACCTCTGTATTGGACACCCATAGCTATTGACCAAACAAGTGAATAGTACTTACAGATCAAGAAATCTGTTATTCAGATGAGCAGTTCTCAGCTTCTTGTATGTTAGAATCACTTGGGACATTTTAAAAATAACTGATATAAAAAAATTTTTCCCCCTAATATCTATGCTTCACCCCCAGAAATGTTGATTTAATTGCCTTTGGCTGGGTTTTTTGGTTTTTTTTTTAAACTTCTCCAGCCATTGTGACGTACAACCAGGTTTGAGAACCCTGAATGAGTGACTGGATCACCTATCCCCACAAAGGTGATAACCTTGAGAGAAATCATGGTGAGGAGTGGAGGAACTAGTAGAGTGTGTTGGTTCTCAGATAACAGGTGGGGAAGAGAGAGTTGTCAAAATTCAAGAGTGGTCAAAGTAGAAAGAGGAGAAAAGAGATGACCATAATGAGATGCATTGCGTGCATGCTAAGTTGTTGTCTGACTCTTTGCGATACCATGGACTGTAACCCACCAGACTCTTCTCTCCAGTGGATTTTCCAGGCAAGAATACTGGAGTGAACTGCCATTTCCTTCTCCAGTGATGAGACGAATGAGTGACAAAAACAGACTCACTTTTCAGTTCAGTTCAGTTCAGTTGCTCAGTCATGTCTGACTCTTTGTGACCCCATGGACTGTAGCACACCAGGCTTCCCTGTCCATCAGCAACTCCCGGGGCTTGCTCAAACTCATAACTCACTTTTGCTCTCTCTGTTTATCCAATATTCATTTACTCTTGGTATATTTTTATTGCATATTTCTAGAGATTTGGGTCCATTCTGTTAACTTTTTCAGTATCAATCCTGTAAGAGAATTTGACACTATATTTTTCAGTCCTTTGTAATGAAATTTCCAAACTCACAAAAAAGTAGAGAGACTACATAGTGAATCCCCCATATTTCCATCACCTGCTTTGACAGTTGCCATCTTTAGGCAAGAATTTATGGGAGAAGAAAAAGGCAACCCACTCCGGTACTCTTGCCCAGAAAATCCCATGGATGGAGAAGCCTGGTTGGCTACAGTCCATGGGGTCGCAAAGAGTCGAACATGACTGAGTGACTTCACTTCACTTTGAATACAGCATCTGTCCATCTCATTCAGAGTAGAATCCCATTCATCAAACCCAGATGTTTTGGAAGCAACCAAAATGTCCATTGACAGATGCATGGATAAAGAAGATGGGGAGGTGGGTCAGCTACATGTATACATATGTCCCCTCCCACTCGAGCCTCCCTCCCACCCACCTCCCCATTCACACCGTCCAGATTATCACAGAGCAATGAGCTGAGCTACCTGTGCTACACCGCACCTTCCCGTTGGCTATCTGTTTTACACATGGCAGTGTATATACGTCAGTGCTGCTCTTCCAGTGAAAGAGATGGGAACACCAGACCACCTGACCTGCCTCTTGAGAAATCTGTATGTAGGTCAGGAAGCAACAGTTAGAACTGGACATGAAACAACAGACTGGTTCCAAATAGGAAAAAGAGTACGTCAAAGCTCTATGTTGTCACCCTGCTTATTTAACTTATATGCAGAGTACATCATGAGAAACGCTGGACTGGAGGAAGCACAAGCTGGAATCAAGATTGCCGGGAGAAATATCAATAATCTCAGATATACAGATGACGCCACCCTTATGGCAGAAAGTGGAGAACTAAGAGCCTCTTGATGAAAGTGAAAGAGGAGAGTGAAAATGTTGGCTTAAAGCTCAACATTCAGAAAACTAAGATCATGGCATCCAGTCCCATCACTTCATGGCAAATAGACGGGGAAACAGTGGAAACAGTGGTAACATATTAAAAAGCAGAGACATTACTTTGCCAACAAAGGTCCATCTAGTCAAGGCTATGGTTTTTCCAGTAGTCATGTATGGATGTGAGAGTTGGACCATAAAGAAAGCTGAGCACTGAAGAATTGATGCTTTTGAAGTGTGGTGTTGGAGAAGACTCTTGAGAGTCCCTTGGACTGCAAGGAGATCCAACCAGTCCATCCTAAAGGAGATCAGTCCTGAATATTCATTGGAAGGACTGATGTTGAAGCTGAAACTCCAATACTTTGGCCACCTGATTCGAACAGCTGACTTATTGGAAAAGACCCTGATGCTGGGAAAGATTGAAGGTGGGAGGAGAAGGGGACGAGAGAGGACGAGATGGTTGGATGGCATCACCGACTCAATGGACATGAGTTTGAGTAAACTCCGGGAATTGGTGATGGACAGGGAGGCCTGGTGTGCTGCAGTCCATGGGGTCACAAAGAGTCGGACACAACTGAGTGACTGAACTGAACTGATAGCTCATTCACATTCTTGTGAAGCAGAAACTAACACAACATTGTAAAGCAAGTATATTCCAATAATAAAATATAAAAAAAAAATTAAAAAAAAAAAGAATTTATGATAGCAGTGAGAACATGGATCGTGAGAATTTGTATATTTGTTATATATACTATCTTTAGATAGAGAGGGAGAGAAAGAGAATATACACAATCTATGTTCATTACAGAACCTTTGGAAAATATATAAAACTTCTCACTACCCAGATAGCCACTGTAAACACCTCACATCATAATTCAGTCTTAATGGAAAATTCTCTACAGAATACAATGAGGAAGAGTGTTTTGCATAACCAAACACTCTGTCTGTATCTAACAGGCTGTGATAACTTTCCATATCAGAAATGATTGCAAAGCCTATCAGGTAGCTCTTTGTAGTTTTAAATGCTCTTTTTTTCTTCTGTCTCTCTAGCTTAACGTTTTAAGAATTGTGTCTTTAAATGAAAATGCAAGTCTGTATCCAAATATTTTGTGTCTTTGTTTTAAACTTCAAGGACACTTGTAATGCCAGAGAATAAAGAGAAATTTGAATATTAAATGCATCATTAACTCAATATTACAATTAAACAAACTTTTTCATAGGCCATGTTCAATCCCAGCTTGTAGAAGAAGGTTAAGTTAGTATATATTTTTCTATATATGGACTTTCAGTGCATAAGGATAGTCAACATGAGTTGTTTATACAGAAAATTACTCACCACTGAAAATCTTATTTCTTCTGTCCTATGAAACTCAGATGTACTTATATTAATTTATAACCATATGGCTTATGATTGTTCATCTGAAGTAAATCTCATAGCACATGTACAGCAGCTAAAATTTACATGAACGTACATCAAACTTTGTAGTTCACTTTCTGCAAATACTTTTCAGTTGTTTATTTTGACATTTGTGGGCTTTGAACCTTACTATAAGTGATTATAATAAAAATTATTGTTCTCTGTGTGAGAGATTTTATTTGAAAGATGTAGCTAATGACTAACGCCCAAGGACAGACTTTTTAATCATGGAAAAACCAGGAAGTATTTCTTCATTTGAAGTATTTGTTTTTGTGTCTTTCTAAAATATGGGCTCCCCATGATGAGATTTG